TTATATACTTATTGTGAAAATCATCTAATGAAGTCAGAGGAGTTGAGTTCCTGTTTCTGTAGAATGAGGAGTTGATCAAATTTACCACAGCATAGAGGTATAAGTAGAAAATGAAGATTACTTCCATTTTGGCAAGTACTCTACTGTTCCAATTTTTCTTGCCTTTAAAATATACAGGACATAGAGTAGCTGTAACAGCGTAAAGATCATACTACCATAATGATTATCTTAATTCCATAAAACAGGCTAGATTCTGTCTGAAACTTTAGGCAAAACATTATAACCTGTATTTTAGACAATCGTGGGTTAACCATGCTGCTATAGTTATTCTTCCCCCAAAATACTGCCTCATACATTTTGGTAGATTGTCTAGATCTGGTGCAGTATTAATTTCTCCCTCTCTGAGCTCACACTCATTCAGTAAGCTGCAAGAAGGGCCTTGTCCTGGCTGAATTCCTTCCAAAGCAAGGCCCAGGTGTGTTCGTGCTGACAGTGGTCCTCAGTGCCACTGGAGACAGAAAGGGAACTTTATCTTAAAGAGAGAAACATGATAAAGATGCCTGTGAGGTTAAATGAAAAAGCAGGTTACCAGAAGTATGTATGTTATAATCTTATTTTAGTAAAAAATTATAACAAAAGCCTGTCACAAACCTACACACATGCTAGAAACAAAACACATAGGAGAAACAAAATCTAGGAGGATATGTAGAGTGTATATATGAGTAGTGGTTATTTCTAGGGAGTGGCATGTTTATTGGTCTTTACTCCTTGGTTTTTGCATTCTCTGAATTTTTCACAAGGAATATGAATTCATTTTATAATTGGAAAAATACTTTCATTAAGAAGGAAGAAGGAGTAAAAGCACAACAATTTTATGGTCGGACTTAAGGAATATTATTCTGTGCCTTCAAAATAGGGAGACTTAAAGTTCCTCCAGGATTTCTTGAAAGAGCAGTTTTTCTGTTTACTAAGCATTTAAAAGGCATTGAAATGTATGAAAAAGATGAGGCTGGCACTCATAATCCCAAGATTATAGAATCATTAAGAATAATGAAAAGATACAAGCAGATCTACAAAAAGAAAATGACCCATCTAAATGGCATGTTCGGAGGTTCTCTGCTCCCCAAGTCGGAGGAGCCTACAGGATAGCAAAGAGCAGTCTTCTCAAAAATGTTCAAATCAATCCTTAAACAGGCACCCTAGAACTTTGCAAGTTTTTAAATAAGGCCACCCATTTATTTTTCTTGTGCCTGACTTAAGTGTTGATACTAACAAAATACGTATTTGGGCTTGCTGCCCTGTCAACAGATCTTCTTCCCTCCCCCCTTCATTTTGAGACTGAGTCAAGACAATCTCAGGCTGGCAGTTCAAAGAAATAGAATTCCTATTAGGGCACAGTATCGCTGGCTCTTAGACTGCTGTAGTCACTTATTTCCTTTTATTATAATGCCAAATGTTATTTAGATTTCAGTCATTTAGTAATGCTATGCTGAACACATCAGTGCTTCTGAAAAATTCCATACCTACTAGTCCTTTCATTTTCATAATAACCATATATCGATATCCCCTTTCCAACTAAATTACACCACTATTTAAAAAAGAATCTATGTTTTATCAGAGTTTAAGAGATTATGATGCAATGAACAACAGTCTTCAAAAATGTTCCTTCATGTTATTAAGAATTAAGAAATCTTGTTAAAATTCTTTCAGCTTTTAAGAAATATAAGCAGCTTTGGGATGTAGTGCCTGACATGAACTTTTTAAGTAATTCCCTTGGAGCGATCATCTGCATTAGTGAAGATATTTCGTTCAAGGTAGCACCCTATGCTGCTTTTTAGTATTTGAGCAGTCAATCTAATTGCTTTTTAAAGCCAAAGATTGAACATAAGCAACACTACAGACTTTTTAATGCTAAGGTAGCTTAACGTTCTTTACTGGTGAGAGCCACACTCACCATCAAGGAAGAGAGGCTCCTCTTATGAGAGTGGCACTAATGAGCCCAAGTTGTTAAGTGATGTGGAAAGCAGAGTTTTCAATTTCACTAGTTAGGATGGCTCAAGGAAGGCTGGTGAAGACAGAGGAAAGAAACCTAAGTAAATTTAAAGTACCTTTCAATTATACTTCAATCTTAAATGATAGAGTACCTTTCAAGGTAACAGTTGAAGGGGATCTCTATTCTCCTATTATCCACAATTAATAATAGGTAAGAAGTGATTTTAACAAGGTGCCTGGAGTTGTTTTATGCATGCTACTGCTTCATAGAAGGCATGAGACTTATCAAGAGTTCTTATATTAAAATATTTATTTGGGTTTACCATTGTCTTTTTTGGTTTTTTTTGAGACAGAATCTCGCTTTGTTGCCCAGGCTAGAGTGAGTGCCGTGGCGTCAGCCTAGCTCACAGCAACCTCAGACTCCTGGGCTCAAGCGATCCTACTGCCTCAGCCTCCCGAGTAGCTGGGACTACAGGCATGCGCCACCATGCCCGGCTAATTTTTTCCATATATATTAGTTGGCCAATTAATTTCTTTCTATTTATAGTAGAGACGGAGTCTCGCTCTTGCTCAGGCTGGTTTCGAACTCCTGACCTGGAGCAATCCACCCGCCTCGGCCTCCCAGAGTGCTAGGATTACAGGAGTGAGCCACTGTGCCTGGCCTATCATTGTCTTTTGACTTTAGTAGAACTGGTTTACAGGTTGTGGATTGTTTTTCTCCCCAAATCTCACCCTCAGTGTGCATGTGGAGAGACATCAAACTCCATATGAATTGAGAGGGTGACTTGGCTTCCACGAGGGTCTAATTCAACCTTAGGCAGCATTAACAGAAGTTAGTCGAACAAAGTCGACAATGCTTTGTACTAGTCAGGATACATCTAGTGGGTTATGTTCAGTTCTCTGAACCACACTTTTAGAGGGTCACCAATAAGCAGAAGCACAGGCGGTGTAGGATGATTAGGGTGGTAAGGCTCTTAAGAATGCCCCATTTGAATAATAGGTGTGGAATTAGCATTGTTTGACTTGGAAAGGAGAAGGGAGTATTTAACTCATTTCCTATCACAGCCTCTTAAATACGTCTTCTCACATTTTGGAAGTGTGGTCCCAGAGGGCAGACCTTGGATCAGTGGAGATAAGTGGTATCAAAGTAGATTTTGGCTCCATAGCTGGAGTAACTATTAGAACTGCTCTACAATGGAGTGGGAAGCCTTACAAATCCATGATCTTCCTACCAGCGGCAGGTTCTAGCAGGGACTGGAAAGGTTACTTGTTGGTTTTGGTATAGAGGATTGGCTGCATATGTTGAAGGGTGGGTTAAAAATCATGCTACATTTGAGAGTTTATGATTCTTCCAAGGCCTTCCATCATACATTCTTCTATACTGCATGTTTGAGTCATGAGGAATCAAGGTTCCCCAATCCAACTTCAGGATGAAAGAGTAGAAAATTGTTTTCACGTGTTGCTTTTCAAATAGGCCCAGATACGAACATTCTATTGACTAAAAAACAATTCCAATTATCTCACTGACACATCTATTCAGTAAAGTCAGTGAGCTATGGTATAAGAATATATGACTTCCATCCTGAACAAAATTAAAGGGTAAAGAATAGTCTTAGATATTCTCTTTTCTCATATGTAGGCCTCATTGGAGAAGGCTGATCACCAATGCTACGGAATAATGAATGCCCTAGAAGCTACAGTTAACTTCAGTGAGGAAACATGGGCTGGTTCTAGATGAAATTAAAATATTTACAGAAGAGGCAAATATGTTTTTTCCCTTCTGTGTGAGCAAACATATTGTGATTATTTTTAGGCAGGCCAAATTAGTTTCTTGGAAGTATGTTGAATTATTTTACTATTAATCTTAAGATGGGTTTTTCTATTTTTCTTTCTAATAAGATGCTTTTGTATTGAGAGTCTGTTTTAAAACAACAGATCAAGGAAAGTACAAGCATCTTTGAAGAGTGCAAAAATAATTTCCCAAGTAAGCAAATAAAACTTTGCACTTCAAATCAGGCCTTGATTCATTAAAAATCTTAAACTTCTCATGAGAAAAATTAACATTTAAACCACTGCTGCTTGGCCAAGCACTCCACCACACAAGAATATGAAATATCTCCTCTAAAAAAGTACAAAAAGGACAAAACCACAAATGTGGAACTTCAATTAATTTAAAGCCCCAATCAGCAAAGAATAAATCCTTCGCAGATCTAATTACCAGCGCTCTCGGAAGACCCAGGCCGACCAGCCAATCTTCCCCGTGTTTGAACAGCTTGATGAACTAGGGGACTGATGGATATCAAGTCATTTTGTTTAATTTATAAATGGATTTTCCCCTAATACTTAAATTATCATCAGTACAACACAATGAAAATGGGAACATTCTGAATGCAAAGTCTATAAGAGTCCTGGAAGGAATCCCAATGAGGAATGTCACCTCTGTTCATTCCTCTATACAATTGATCTAATTAAATACTGAGGGTAGAAAGGCAGTTTAAAATGTAGCCATTTCTGTTTTCTTTTTAGCCTTAATTTATCTGTTCACATCTTTCAAGTACCTTCTGATGCTCATAAAAAAAAAAAGAAACCAAGATTTCTGTAAGTCCCTAATACTTTTAATTCTGCACAAGCTAATATTCAAAATGCTCTGCCATAGACTTTGCTGAATAATAAATAAATGCATTACATTTAGCCACGGTAACAATAAAATAAAGAGGGTATTCCAAATCAGAAGCTTTTCCCTCCAGTAGTTTGAAAGAGAAACTAAAGGAACTACTAGCTGCTATATGTATTGTTCAATTGAAATTAGATCTCTGGATTATACTTATTAAAATGTCTCCTTATTTTCAAATCTCTTCCTTATTTAATTACTGCATGGGACTGAAAGCTGCATGGAATTGTTAAATACCCTTAGACCTATTTATAGTCTCTTCACATGGGTAACTTGAGCACACTCATTTGGCAAAGGTCTTTTCCACCAACCCACACATTGGGTTTGCAATTCCCACCTGGCTCAGGGGTCTCCGACTGAGAGGAGGAAGATGCTGAGCTGGCTCCATCCTCAGCGGTGCCCTGTGAGAGGAGACCCCGCCCAGGTGGAAGCTTCATGCCCAGCTGTTCTGCCATCTCCACGTGGTCTCCCGGGTGGACATAGTCAAAGACGCTGCTGCCTGTCAGCTCCACCTAGAGGGGGGAGAGAAAGGTGTCATAGGTTTTTCCATTTTCAAATTCAGCACCACAGTGATTCAGAGTCTGAGCAGAAAGGAAATACATTCGGGCCCCAGCAACAATCCTCATTCTAAGTCCTTCATCTTCAAATACTTAGGGATGCTTGAAGTTGAAAGAGAAAGATTTTTTTCATATGTATTTATTTAGCAATTGTTTAGCCCAGTTTTTTTTCTCATATACTGTTGTTTGCAGAAAGCCAAAACATTCTGTGAAATGTGGACGAGTCTGCCTTGCGTTCAGCTGTTTTATCTATGCATCATCAAATACTTGCATGTTTGGTGTCAACCAGATGATTGACTGAATTCTATAGTTTTCTTACTGAGAAGTTTGGGCTTTGTATAGAAACAGCCTTACTCCTTACCACACACAGATTTCCAGGATGCGTTTTTATACTCATCATCTATGTAAATTTAAATGTAAGAAGGGCTGCTTACGAATATAAGCAAAGGCATAATGTTTTCATTAAATATTACTCATTAGCTCTGTAATCGTATGGAGAATTTTCCACGCAAAAGAGGTCAGCTGGGGTCTGAAACAGCCATTTTTTTTTTTTTTCCTGCTGGTATCAGCTTGTTTTGTCTTCAATCTAATAAGATACATGGTACAAATTTCCTTGAGGGCTTTGAAAAAAACTGTTTTATTTTGTGTACTCTTTGAATTAGGCTGATGCTAAGGTAGGGGATGAATATCAAATATCAGAAATGTTTCAGCCAGAAATGGCTATTTCAATGCTGTATGAATTGGCCTTACCTCTGCACTCATCTAATGCTCTAACTTTTATCTCCTTTAGAGAACAGCGGTGATGATCCTAACAGACAACAGGGACAGATGTGTCAGTCACAGGACAAGCAAAAGCTCTTTCCCAGGTCACTAATGGCTTTCCTGGTTCCCTGGAGCATAATGCTCTCAGGCCAGCTATGCTGTACCATGGAAGCTGCCAGAACTTCATCTTGTCACACCAGTTACCTAGAATACCTTCTTACCCTTTCCTGTGTAATTTCCACCGTCCCTCCAAATTCCACCTGAGTGCCTGTACTCTTTCCTGCCAAGAAGGAAGACTGGCAGTAGGCAAACTGTCACAGAGAGCCTGGTGCTCAGAACAATTATCATCCCCAGAACTCCAAGTCCCCGTAAAATGATCACGTCTACTCACAGGCACCATTTGATTAAAATCTTAACAGGCTACAGATCTTCAACATCTATCAATTAACAGACGTATAGGTAGAAAAATAGGGGGCTAAATCCGGTTTGGTTAATGGCTATTCCTGAAAAAGGCGTGCATAACTTTTGCTGATAAATGAGGTACATTCTCTTGCTATGGAATTGCACTCTCCTACCATATTACCCGACCACTAACTATATCATCTTATGATCCCTGTTTCCTCCATTTGGTATTGTTACAGAGTGTAAATCAGGATTCACAGTGATCAGCTCCTACCCTCTGGGAGGGGGGGATTACATGGAAATAATCCCGTTAATGTGCGCCTTGCCTCTAAGCACTTCACACAGTAATAAATGGGTAAACTGACTTTGAGCAATTAAGAAATTAAATGAAACTAATAAAATGTGTGTTTTAATATTTCTTGATGGTTATTTTGTTTGGAGATTAGTGAATATGAAGAAGTCGCTTTCATTTTGCATGGAGTCAGATCGTAGCACTTAATAAATATTTCTGTCACTTTTCTCAAACTCTTTTTAATACTTCAATGTGCCTTTTGAGACAGACCACAGATTGTGATGACAACACAAGTGGGAGATAAAAAAAGTTTTTAGGGGTGCTGGCTATTGAATATTCATGTATGCTGGTCTTACAGAGAGGAGGAATAGACCACTATTGCCACAACCTGATTTGCTGAGATGTGCAGGCACTTCCTTCCCACAAAATAATGTCCTGAACATAACACATTTAGAGCCAGATTGAGTCACAATGTGTTATTATGGCAGAATGAGGACTTTCTCCTCCAGTGGTCTCATGGGATTCCCCACCAAGACACCTTAAAGCCTAATAAGATAGAGGGGTGGCCCCTGAGAATCTGACACAATCACAGTCCTTATGTATATACTATAGTTAAGGCCATGGCTGTACCAGCTACTTGGAGTCGTAACCTGACTTTGAGATCAGAACCTTTTCCTCCTCAGCTGTGTGACCTTGTCAAGTTCCCATTCTAAAAGTGGCAGCATTGCTGCTCTGCAGGACCCTGGGGGCACTACTCACAGTGAAGCCCACGTGGCTGGCACCTGCTGGAGCGCCGTTCCTTGGGAATGGTACAAGGCTGTGGACCTGATATGAAAACAAGGTTTACTCTACCTCCTCTCAGCTGAAAATGACTGCTGTTTGATGGCTAAGACTGGATGACACATAGCAACGTATGTCCTTGTGTAACTCTGTGTCCTCACTTTGGGGCAGCAGTTTAATCAGCATGGGATGGTACATGCTTTGAGCCTGCATAACAGCAATATTAGCAGTTACCTACTATGTGCAGGTACTTTCCGTACTTTGCTTTCATTAGTCCTCATAACAATCTTTTAATTATTATGGTTAAATTGGTATGATCATCCCCATTTTACAGAAGAACCTGAATACTAGAAAAGGCCAATGGTGGAGACAAAATTTGGTTCAAACTCTGCTTGACTCATCTTTCCACCTCCCAGGTTGTATCGTTTGCAGCCACAGAGACTAAGGAGGGATCTCTGAGCTCCTCCATTATTCAGCCTCACTGTTGTTTAGGAGAGAACATTAAGCACTAAGAAGGGAGGAGGCTGAGGGCAGGCAGCCTGTCAATCACCTGGGCGGGGAGGATGCTCTGCCATTGGACTCTTAGGCCAAAAGCCATCACTGAAAAAAGCATATTAAGCCAACATAGATGCAGGGCTAGGGTCTGCTCATATATGCATATTGAACTGGAAGAGGCTTTAAAGACAATCCATTAATATCCTCTTATTTAATAAGTGAAAACTCTACAGTTCTGATAAGTTAAAATGCTTTTTCAAATGCAACCAATTGTTCTGTGATGGAAGTAGGGCCATGAGTCCAACTGTCTCACTCTTAGTCCACCATTTTTCTCATGAAACTCTTGTCTGCTTTTTCTTTTCTTTTATGAAGATTCAGTACGTAAGACAGACTAGAACTCACGTTTCCTGCCACTAAAGTCTGTGTCCCAAAATAGATTACAAAAACTGAGACTAGGATTTTTTAATTGATGAAGAGACATTACTTCATGTTAACTTTAAGTAGGAAAAAGAAAAACAGCTCCAGTCCAATGCTAATTAGGTACTTTCAAATCTGTAGTTACCAACTCTTCTAACCATTTGTACACTGAGAACTAGGATCAGTGTCTTATATAATATTTAGTAGGTCTATCACAAATGTTTGTTGATTGAGTAAAGGATATTTAGGCTTGAAAAAATTTTTGCTTTATCTGTGCTTAACTTGGACAAGTTAGTACTTTTACATTACTAATGGTGTTACTATTGTAACATTACTGTGTAAAATGAATTATAGCACCATAATATAGTCATTCCCAGTAAGTCCTTGCATTTAACTGAGGAAAGAATTGTACAAGTGCTGGGAAAGAACAGTTTAAGAAATTCTTTAAGAGAATAGTGGCCATCTTTCATAACCATTCTGCTTTCAATCTTTGGCAAAACTGTGTTTAGTTGGTTAGTTTCCAACTTTCATAACCCTATGTCCTCATTATCTGAATTGTAACATAGTTCCATAGAAATTGTTATTTCTTAACTATCCCTTCAAATCACCAATGGTAGAAATACAAAGAAATTTCATTTTATATTAATTATTGGTCCTATCTTCAATCCTTAATTATGATCTACATAATGGAAAGGTAGAGTTTTGTTTTCCCCTAATAGAGTGTTCTGATTAGTGCAAATTGCATTCTAAGGTAAACGTGAGAACCTCTTCATTTTACAGTAAACTCAATCACTTTATATGGTGATTAAAAAAAACCAAACATGTTCTGTTTATTAAACTCAAGAAACAGACCCGTGGGTCTCTGAATTGTTTCTGTAGTAGAAGGGAGAGAAGGAAGCATGATTGTTTCCAAACTCACCCACTCGGTCCAACTTTACTGTAGATGAAAGACTCTAAAAGAGAAATTACTCTCACATTGCCTAGTGTATGACATAACAGTTGAGAAATGCACCAGGGGCAGTAGATAGGCAACGAGTAATAAAAAATCAATCACATTCAGAAACAGCATTTTGTTTAAAGTCTTTTCTCCCTGTGTTTCCCCACCCAAGGCTACCATAGATTCCTCCAGGGAAAACCATAGCCTCTAGTGCCATCTGGCATAACCTAGATTCAGGCTAACCCACACAGCCTTCTCAAATTTATTTCACATTCTGTTAGCTTGCATGTAATTTGCACACTAGACACAGTTGATTTGGTAACTCTGAAGTTTCCTGGAAAAAAAATGTAAATATATTATACAGTGGTTTGAGTTGACTTTTCCATGTCAGGTCATTGTACCCTGCTGGTAGATAGGATGGGGGACTAATTTGTCTTTTCATACATCAAGCAAGCATGTCAATAGCCTTTGCTTGGCCCCCTGGAGTGAGCAATACTTTTTAACTACAGTGATGTACTAACAGTACAACTCATTGAATTCAGTGTTTCTTTGATTGAAGGGGCTTGGTATAAATGAGAAGCAGGCACTGATCTTGTAAGTTATCTCTATACTGGGACAACTGAAGAGGATACCTCTATAAAGGAAGATCATAAAACTTATTTTTAAGATCTTTCTTTAAAAATGCTTCAGTCTTAGGAATAAAACAAAGTGATTTTTATCTCATAAAAGAGGTCATTCAAACTTATGGTCAAATATCCTAACTAAACCTTTTGTAAGACACTGGTTTTTTTAAAAAAACATTTTAAGGGCATTGAGGTTTCTGAGAAGACTGGAGGTGCTTTTGGTTAAGCCCATTTTCAGGAGTCTTCT